AGTCGGTTTCTGTAAATGGAATGTCCTTTTTTTTGTTACTGTATGTGATTTTTCGCTGAGAAATGAATAATTTTTATTTAAATTATTTTTTTGCTTTCTCCAAATCAAAATGATCTCTCTATTATTTTGCTTTTCTGATTATTAGGATCATTTAGGATAATCATTTTAAAATGCCGGACTCTGGAACAGCAAATTTATATCGTCAACGTTTTCCGCAGACAAGAAATCCAAGTAAAAGTCAGATTGTAAAAATTGTAGTTCATCAACGGCAAATACTTTCAAACAGAAAACGACGTAAAGTGAATGTGCTTGAAAGAGATAATATGCAAGTATAAGCATTATTGAATTACGTAAATATATATCTATATGCTAGTTTACAACAAATTGAAAGAGAATCAGGTATCTTTACAATTGCTGCTCAAAAAATTTGTCAATTCATAACTTTCATCTGTGTCATATCATGTTGACGCAACAATTAATGATAGATAACTTTCATCGGAGAATAGCATTTTGCAGATGGATACAAGAGATGATATGACTGGATACTCATTTCTCCCGCTATGTTTTATTTTTAACGAGGCAATATTTTATAGCATCGGGCAACAAAATCGATATAATTTCCACGACTGAGCCCTTCAAAATCCGGATTGATTTCAATAAATTGATCGCCAACGTTGGAGCTTGAATGTATGGTCGAACAACGAGAGAACATATGAAAGACCGCATAAGGTTTTTTTTTAATTTGGTTAAACTTCGCTCTATTTATGCTCCATCAGTGCTAATCAGCGACGGAGGCTTGCAATGTGTTTGAGAATAAAAAACATGAAACGTTTTTCAGTGGTGCTTGTATCAATCAGTAGGTACCGGGAATCGAACCTGGGCCTATTGGGTGCGAGTCCGTCGCCCTACTGACCGAGCCATTGCAGGCCTCTTTCCGCATAAGGTTGATTTATCAAAATATTTTGAAAAAGGTTTTGTTGTTAACTGTTCGAAAATAATGGGCAACACTTTGAACATCTATTGCGATAACACTTTTCTTACCACTAGACACCCATAGTACAACAACCCCTTTAATTTTTTTATACTCCTAGACCAAAGTTCCCATTTAAAAAGTTACATAAGTAAAAACTTTCACCATTTTTTAAGAAAACTTTTACCTGCAATATTTATTGGGTGTATCATTACTTTTAGGATACCCTGTATATATAGCATCGTAATAAATCTTCTCTCCTAGCTTAAGCTCTGGTAGACCATAGTTAAAATAATGTAAGGGAAGTCCAACTAATTAAACCTGTGACTAGGAAGTTGCAATATCCACCTTTGGTTTCTCTCCAGTGTGAAACTGCATTAACATTACTTCTGTTGGGAGTTTCTGTGTCTCTATATAAGTGGCGTTAATTCGCCTGTCTAACTACCCTTCCTTCACACACACACACACTCTCTCTCTCTTTCATTCATTTAATTTTTCAAGCATCCTTCGTTTTTTATCCTCCTGACAACAGTCTCGAGAAAAATAGCTATTGTTCCAATAACATAGTCAGGCCGAATGCCGCTTCTGATAATTGCTTCTAGTTGTCGCTCATACGTTATCATGTGGGGATATACAAAAAGTCCATTCTTCGCGTCATCTGTATTATGCCCGCAGAAAGTGCAGTCTGACGTCTGTACTTTTCTAATTTTGAGAGATATCTACTCAAGTATCCGTGGCTGGTAAAGAACTAAATAAGATAAACATTCACCTCTTCAAATCTCCTCCCAGGGTTTCGGATTTGCTGTATCATGTCCAGATGTTTCTCATAAATCCACTTGCGCTTAGCAAGCAGATTTATGATCTTTGTAGATCGTGTGTGATGTATTTCGTGTGTGATTTGTAGATGTGTATAAAGATCGTTGACATCAAAAGTCTCCCATTTTACTAACTTGATTCGTACATATTTATCATCAAGCGGCTAATTGTAAGTGAAGTTAGCTGTGCTGCCACCTTCTCGATCGTCTTTTGTATGCGAGGTCAAAACGTTAGGTTCAGATCTAGGATGATTGTTAGTGTTTCAGCGTCTCTCTGGTCTCTATCTATACTGCGGTAACTCTCAACGGCATCATCGTGGTTATTCTATAAAACAGTCGGCTACAATGAAAAGTAAAAAAAATCTCTATAGAGTATCCTAATGCAAGATTCATCACTTTTCTCGTTATGACACATGATCATACTATATTAGTAAATCACAGACAATCTGAAGATTTTAATAAATTTAGAAATAACGAATTTAAACTGAATGATCTAGCTGATTTTACCTATTTGAAAGCTATTTTCATCACATTAAAATGTTTTTCTTCCGATAAAAGAAACACGTATTATTTATTTTTTCATGAACAAAAACATATCAAAAGGTTATTAAAATTGGTGTGGTTGGGGGGGGGGGGGGTTGCCTCGTAAGAAATATAAACAATATGTATATTACGTAAAATTTTCCACTCTTTTCGAATTTGAAGTTGCTATTTACATTTTGTAATTCTTGTATCTACCTTTCCCTCCATATCTTTCAGTATATAATATAATATACAGGATATCTCATTTTAATCATCCCACCTAAAAATGTAAAAAAGGTACTCCAATTGAAAAGCGTTTCAGACAAAAGATGAAGGGTTCAAAGGGAGCCACATTATGATACTAAACAACATAAATCTTACGTTTGACTTTCAAGGTCATTACAAAAATAACATGATTTTTCTTTAATTAGAACACCTATTTTTAACCCCGGAAATAGAAAGAGTGGAAAATATTACGTCTGGTAACCTCCTTGAATATGATCTTGATTGTAATTTTCAAGATCGTTTGAAGGTCAAGTTAATTTATCCATATTGAAAAATGCTAAATATTTCTCGTTTAATTATAATCTTAGCCAGTATATTCAAGGTAACAACATCTCCCCAGTTAAAGAAATTGTGACGTAACAGATAAATTCTCTTCCCTTTGAATGCCTGTTTCGCACCCTTAACACACTTTCCCGTGAAATCCAACCACTGATACGTGACAAACAACCCTAAAACCCCCTTTTGCAAATTTTTGTTCTAATCAGTTCAAATGTCACTTTTACTCTTCAATATCTTAACAAATACTTTAATTCTGCCAATAATAATACCAAGTATGTATTTTTTTATCTCCGTCTATTAATTAGAAAAAGGCCAACAATCACCGGAAAGTATTATGCGTCGTTATTGGATTGGTTAAGCGAGAAACTAAAGGAAATACGCCTATAAACAATTATATATATAACAGTTTGTGACGGTAAACGTCTTATTAGCGCTAACAGCCCAATCATGCGGCTGCCTGCGAGGGCAGCACCTACCGGTTGGGGAAAATGTAATGAGGGAATTCGACACGAGGCGAGACGGAATGCGCGCGTATGAAAATGAACCAGTCGAGGATTAGCTATCGATATCTCCAGCCGCAATTAAGAAGAACGAGAGTTTCCGAGTGCTGAAGCGAACCAGCTGAAAAACCTCCTGAACCGAGAATTGTACTTTTGTTGTCGCTGGGGTAGCGAGTGTATGTGTGAGTGAGTGTGAGTGGAGGTTTCGCCATCGAGGGCGAAACCAAGAACAGCCCGTTCCTGTCAAAGACTGACGCTACCTGACTTGTCTCCTTTTTCCATTGCGAGAAGTGCGCTCGATAATAAGGTAAGCTGGCCAGCTTAATTTCGCGATTGCTATATAATTGCCGATAACTAATCTCTCGTACTCCACGAGAAGCGTGCAATTATTAACCCGGCGAACAAAGAGCGGTGAGTGATCCGACACTGCATGTTATTGTCGCGCGCGCGCTTTGTAAACATAAACACGCGGGCCGAGTACATTGTAGAAATAAGAGGTAATAAACGATCTTGCATGTGATATTGACCGTAATTCTAATATTATTATTTCGTATTAGAAGAAAGTTGGTTGAATGACACCCGTTCCCTCCTGCTCTCCGGTTTTCGAATTTGAACGTGTAGATAATCCCGCGCGCTCTTCGACGTGATCGCACGCATAATTAAATAAACGGATATCAACCCCGTTACAAGTTATTTATATTCAGTGTCTATAAACCTAGTTCTGTTTTTATTATTCATTGCTGTTATTACTTATCATATATTTTATTATTCTAGATAATTATAGGTAATTTTTTTCCACATGCTTTCTGCAAATATATCATAAGCGAAACGTTCATTAGCTGTTAACAACTGATTGCTTTTATATTATAAAACTGTTTTTTTCTAACACACTAGACACGATTTCACCCTATCGTGAAATAAAGTTAACTCAATTCAAATCAACTCCTGAAATCGCATGCTTGTTTCTCGGGTACCATTGACTCAAGTTTTCGTTTGGTAACCGTGTACCGGGCTACCGTTGAACATTCTACGGTACTCGAGGTTAGACAAAAGGATCTTATCGCTACTCAGGCGTGTATTGGTGCACACCCGTAGTGGTTAATCTCTCTTCAAGCGTAATGCTTCGACCGTTTGCCGTTGAAGACGCGAAATCATCAAGCCAAATTTCGATTCTTCTTTTTCTATATCTTTGTTTTATTTTATGTATAACGGGGCGAAAGTAAATAAGAATAAATTTTCTAAATAGAGTCTCAAACCGAATTTTAATTTCATAAAATCAACTATCCCTTTACATAGTCAATAGTATGTAGACTTACCTCCCTTATCAATTCAAAAATAATAAGAAAAGTTTTTATACTATAAAACGTATATACCATAGTTTATACGTAAACGATAGGTTTATACCATAGTCATGACTGAACCTGCAGTTTATGGTAATTTCTAAGTCACTGGAATTGTAATATTAAACAATAGGGAAATTTCAAATTTTCATATGTGCGAGGCTTGAACCCACAAGATCTTACACAGAAAGCTTAGCCACTGAGTCACCATAAGTTCAATAAATTCAAAACAGAAAGATAATATCGATAATATATTAAATAATAATATTGTAAGATCATTACAGTTTACCTTCTACTTCACTGAATAACTTTTTACTATCTTCACAAGCTTCTTCTAATTCATCCCACCAAGGAGGTTTGAGTAGCCTAAGATCTGCTCTTCTAATAATAATGTTCTCATGGTTCGATATTTTTTCAACAATAAATCTAGTAGGTTTAATCAAAATTTTACGCACTATTCCAATTGAAAAGGTATTAAAATCATTTTTCGAGTAAGCGGAACTAACTGGATTTCGGCGGAAACATACTCTCATATTTACAGAGACTTGTTTTAACGATGGACTGGCGTTGCAAATAATATCAAATTTTTTATTCGTAAGAACACCATCAAATTTAAGTAATTCATGCGAACCATCTAATTCAACCAATAAAGTATCATCCGCTGCACATTTAATTACTCCAGGATAATATAGATCGTTACGGAGAGCCAATATCCTGTGATCGAGCCACTCATTTAGATCTAAATTTATTTTTAATCCAGGTATAACAGTTTTCGTTAAATGATTTTCTATATCTTTGGACGTTATAACTTCATCTCTTAAAGAATAATCTACGGCAGCATTTTGAAATCCACTAATTCGGCCATCGATCTGAAAAAATTCATCCATGTATTTCAATTTATTTATTTGTCGGTTGGAGTTTTTTATCGATCTTTTCTAGTCGAGGCGTAGTAAATAACATTACCTTATTGAGGTATTTTGAAAAGCAACAATAAAATAACAGATTTACATAAATGATATAAATATTGAGAATATTAAAAATAATACGTTGGTCGATTGAAAAGAATTGTAAATCAGGTATCAAAGATCATAAACACGTCACGTCTTCCGTAATAAGTACATTTGCATGCATAAGCTATTGGCCAGACTATACTGAAATTATCAAAAATTCAAAGTTTTGTAGCTCATTCGGAAATAGTCGTAGGTGAACGTAGGTCTTATTTCAAAGGGTAAAGCAATACTTTTTATATTTCACTGGTTTTTTTTAAACGATTGAAAATAGCATTTTTTAACCTTAAAAAACTAGATCACATTTTTTCATTTTTTTCGAACCGTGAAAATACTTTCTAACTTTTGAAGGAGTCTGCAGATTTTTGAAAAATAAAAAGGAATGGATACGTATTTGCTTCCTCTTTAAAATGAGTGGAATAAAATTCTTTTTTATCGAGTTGATATAAAGTTACGTTAATTTCATTTTTTAAATCACTATTTTTCCAAGTTCGTCTATCTTCAAATGTGTACACTATAAAAAAACTCCTTAGACAAAACGTGTTTGTTTTTTCAAGAAAAATAAGATTAAGGTTAACTATTAAAATACCGTTTTAAAAAAAAGAATTTTTTCATTTTTTTATCGTAATTTTTTTTTCAATCCATTGAAAATGAAAAACTTTCGTTATTAGTTAAAAATTCATGACTTTTAAATTATATTTAGATGATTTCCTCTTAAAAATTTACAATAAAATCAATTTTTACCTGCTAATTTTTTTCTCTATAAGGATGTATTGAAAAGGAAATTTCATTGATTTTAACTGAGTTTCAATTTTATTATATATTCAGATCTACAAATTCTACATTATAGACAAAGTATTTATAAATTTTTGCAACAAAACAATAGTATACCTTCCTTTTATTTAAATACATTATTATGAAGACTAATAACAACTGAACAGAAAATCACTTTATATGAAATAAAAGTTAGAACGTATTTTAATATTTTGTTGAGATGATAATTTTTCAATTGTTTTTCGATCAAATTTCTGCCATTCACTCTGTACTCTTTCCCATAGCATGCTTTTATTCGAACAATTTTTGCAGCTACTTTTACTTTTAATACATCCTAGAAGTGTTCGATCGGATTTAAATCCGGAGATTGACTCGGCCATTAGAACACGAAGCTTTACCAGAGCATAATATTCATGATTCACTGTCGGTATTTGATACTGAGAATCGAACTTGGTATTCTTTGATCGTCGAACATACCTCCTCCCGTCATTCTCAAATAAATTTACTTTAGTTTCATTAGAGAAAAAAACTTTTTTCCATCTCGTATTATAAGATTTATGAGCCTGAGCAAGTTCTACTCTTGCTTATTTTTTTATTCTTGACACTAATCAGTGGCTTTTTAAGCCAACACTAAGTTCCGACTAATAATAAGGACGTCAGACCGCCGTTCCTATATTACGGCGATCGTCGAGGGTAGGGCCTAAAAATCTAGACTTAGTTCTGTTTGCCCACTGTGTGACTGCGCAGAGTGGGAAGATTGACGTCGTCACAGCGATTTCCTTGTATCAGGCCGATGGTGTCCAACAATTGTCGATTTATTCGTCCTCTCACGTCCTTGAAGTACCGGCAGCTCAGGATATGACTCCTCATCTCGGATCAAAGATTCGTTCGATGTAACGTGTAAGTTACTTAATGCCCGGAATCAGAAATGCAAACAAAAGAATCCTCGCTATCGGACGACGGCGACTGAAAATAATATTAGCATGCAGGGAAGGAAGGGTTAACCCTTTTCCTCCCAATTAACACAAATTTTTTCTTAACTTTCATCCTCATATCTTTTAATGAAAAAATCCTATGAAAAATTTATCAAGCATCACATCTTGTAGATTTTTACCTCCTCTTTCGAATGCCGTTGACAAAATTTACCTAAATTGTAAGCCAGAAACGTTATAGGCCGGTTTTCCGGAAAATTCACAAATTTTTCGCGTTTTTTTTCTAAAAAAAGTATATTTTGAAATGGAAAAAGTTTGCACACATCATTGGAAACACTGTTATCGGTGTTATAGATGGCTTTTCTTTCAAATGCCCTTGGATTTTTTCCGAAATTTAAAATGGCGAACACAAAATGGTGTTCGAAAGGAAAAATTTTTTTTTTAAACTTGACGATTTTTTCCTCCAAAACTATCAAGTTTAGTGAAAAATTTCTAAGAACAAAAATGTCTTAAAATTAGTCAAGAAATACTCTCAAATTTTTTCAAATTTTTTTACAGCGAATTTGGAAATTTCGATTTTCCGATTTTCCACGAATTCGAAAATTAACTCGGAAAATTCTGAAAAAAATTGAGAGTACTCCTTGGTAAATTTTAAGACTCTTTTGTAATTATGAATTTTTTTATTGAGTCAATAGTTTTTGAGTAAAAAATTAATCAATTTTATTCCTAGTATACATTTTTTTCAAATTAGTTTCACAAAATTTAAAAAAATTTCAAGTCTAACAATTATTTTTTTTTGCTACCCTCGCTAAAAGTCGATTTTCTTGATCGCGACACGATAGAACTTTAGGCGAGAGAGGAGCAGAAAAATAGTATGTGAGTCACGGCCGTAAATAAAAAAGCCTCACATCAGGCGAAACCTCGGGCGACAATATTCGGCCAATTTGACACCTTATTTACTTTTACGGTCTAAGGCCATTATTATCATTTAAAAAATTCAAGAGTCAATTGGTTTAGGTTTTCAAAAATTTTTTATTTTAGCCCACAGTGAAAAATTGTTAAACATTCATTTACGTAAACGTTTTGAAATTTTATTTCTTACTAAGTTTTATGAGTTGTTAGATTTTCAGTTTTCAATATTCTGTCGTAAATTCTTGTGCAGTTATAAGCAGAACTTTTAATTTTTGTTTCTTGATACATGCTTAACCATACAAAATTTTCTCATAAAGAGTAACTATAGTAGTGTTTGAATTCCGTTCGAATCTTTCGTGTTGTACATAAAAATTTCATAGTAATAATTGAAAAATTTTTATTTGCAATCTTCGTTTTAGTTATTTTTTATACAAATCACAAATTGAATTTTTAATTAATATTGATTTATCTAAAAGCCATAGTTGTTACTTCTAATCATTAAAAATTCACAAAATAAACATACCGTAAATTATTTTTTTTCGCAATGCCGAAACGAAAACAACCATCATCAAAATCCTCGCGCCAAAACATTACAAATGTTTTGCTCGAAGATTCATGTCAGTTATACGATAACCGGATTAACGTTTCCGTCATGCCTAATGCTAATGATTCGGATATGGAATCAGACTTGTTTAGCGATGATCATATATATCTGATAAACAAATGTCAAAGGAAATCGAAAAGGTACTATCTTACAAGCAGATTACCAATAATTATTCTTCTGATCAAAAGTATCTAGAAGAAAATCATAAATATAATTGGACATTAGGAGAAAAAAAGTGCGCTGAAACACTTAAAAATGAATATTTATTGACTGATAAACAACGGGATGAGATTCTTGCGAATTCGCCAACTAAATTGTTCGAAACATTTTTATCTGCCGAGATAAAAACTCATATTATTGAAGCCTCTGCCGAAAATGATTTGCATTTATCAATGAGTGAAATAAATACTTATTTCGGTATAATAATTCTAACAATTTTCAATAAAAGACCAGAGATAAGTGACTATTGGTCCACCAATCCATTATTGGAGTGCTCCGTTGTAAAATCAGCTATGTCCCGTAATAGATTTCAACAAATCAAAGGGAAAATGTTATATTCCAAAAAATCTGAACAAAATCAAAATGACTTTGCCTGGCGAGTACGTACTATCTTTGAAATTTTCCGGAAAAACTTGAAACAATTTGGTTTTTTCCAAACTGCCACATAGCTGTTGACGAAATGATGGTTAAGTTTTTCGGAAGGTTAGCAATCAAACAATTTATACGTAATAAACCAGTAAGGTTCGGTATCAAGATATGGGCATTATGTGGAGCTGATGGGTTTTTATTTGATTGTGAAATCTACGGCGGAAAAAATGCAGCCATCGATGGAAACTTGAAAAAATGCGCTTTGGGAAGTAGAGTGGTTCTCGGTCTTTTAGAAAAACTTTTTATTACCACAGTAAGAAAAAAACTAAAAATATACCATCTATACTGTGATAACTTTTTCACTAGCCCTCATCTGTTTGTACATTTGCAATCATTAGGTTTGAGAGCTACGGGAGTTGTGAGAAAAGATAGAGTGAAAGAAAAGAATGATTTAGATAAAAAAGCTTTACGCGGGACTTTTATTGTAAAACATGATTAGACTAGCGGTATGAATTTGATAACTTTGATGGACTCAAAAGAAGTGTCAATGCTTTCTACTGCTGCTGGAGTTGAAGCTGAAAGTAAAGTTAAAAGATATTCCAAAGAAATGAAAAAAAAAGTTGAAATTAAAATGCCTCTTGCATTTACGAACTATAATAAGTTTATGGGTGGTGTCGATATACATGACCAATATTGTAGCAAAGCATCACCATCCATGAAAATTAAGAAGTGGACTTTTTCAGTATTTATAAGAATTATTGAATCATCTATTACTAATGCGATAATATTGTTTAATGCTGTGCCTCCAGAAGGGACTAAAAAAACGACTGTCAAAGATTTTGCAATGAACATTACACAAAATTATCTATCACAAAGTAAATTAAAAAATCGCGTCTATCTCAAAACTACCGTATATAAAAAGTGCTCATCCGATTGTGGTAAACGAAGTTTTTGGTATTGCAATCAATGCAATCAATACATTTGTCAAACTTGTTGGAATGACTCTCATGCTGAATGAAAACACTAACTTTTATAAAAAGTTTTATTACTGT